TTTGCCATCGAAACTGCACACGTGTGAACTCGAGCATTGTTTTGAAGAAAGAAGTATTTTTTTTGTTCAAGTGAGGACGTTTTTCTCTAATTTTTTCTTTCAGCTAACCTAATAATGACGCATAATATTGTCCAGTGATCGTTTGACCCTTTTCCAAGTAGTCGATGAAGATGATTCCATACGCATCCCAGAAAACCGTGGCCATAATATTTCCAGTTGACTTTACTGTCATTGCCTTCTTTGGGGCTGGTTCTTCTGCGGCAATCCATTGTTTGGACTATTCTTTGATTTCAGGAGTGTAGCGGTGTACCCATGTTTCGTCTACAGTTACGAGTCGACGCCAAAAGTCTTCCGGATTACGACAGATGTGTCAAAAGAGCCTCAGAGGTGACCACGCGAGTTTGTTTGTTTTCAACAGTGAGCAAACGCGGCACCCATCTGGCTGATATTTTTTTCATGCAAAATTGAAATGATTGTACCCTTTGATACCCCTGTGGCCTCAACTAATTCTCACAATTTGAATTTTCTATCACTCAACACCATATCGTGGATTTTGTTGACCATTTCAGGCGTACTAGCTTCTACGGGGCGTCCTGAACGAGGTTCATCTTTTGTTGTTGTAGGGCCGCATTTAAATTCATTTACCGAGTTATAAACAGTCTTAGACACAGGGGCAGATTTGCCATGAACGGCGTTCAACTCAACTGTGATTTCTTTTGGTATAAGGCCTTTCAAATGAAAATGTTTTATAACCGCTCGAAACTCTGTTTTTTCCATTTTTCAAATAAACCAATAACTTTTTTTTTAACCAACGCTCACAAAAAATTGACTTAATGAATCGAGCTGAAACTTTGTACGATATCTAGTTAGTAATATTGCTTGCCAAAATCATCATAATTTAAGCGTGACGAGCGCCATCTCTTGGATTTTGTAAAGACTTGTTGACCCTCCCTTATAATAACAGAGGTATTTGAAGTCTTCAGTCATAGTAATAGTTAATATTTATTTTTTTAAGAAAAAACTATAACGGAGTAAATAAATCTGATTATATATTGAAATAAACAAATTGAAATCTGTTAATTACAATTTTTATTTTTAATTTTGCATTTTTAATCTTTAATTTTTTCACACGATCATTTATAATTCACTATTCAAAGGCGTAACAGTATCTGCAGGTGCTATGTTTATACATTATTTATAAAAAGCCAGAAATAAATATTAGTCATGTGACAAAATTCTCTCGTTACCACCAATTCTTGTTGCGTGGGTCAGTGAGGCGCTTTCGCTTACGGCAATTGAGGGAGAAAAGAGAGAAAAGGTCTCAAAACAAATAACACAAAGACAAATTCAGATTAAACTTACAACCTATTATTACTAACAGTTATTCAAATTAAAATATGTACGAGCGCGAGATAATACAGAATTACCAACTAACTGACTAAGAAACGATTTAGCGTAATCGCGAATAAATGTATCGCTGTCTTTCTTAACTAAACAATTAATCACGCACTTATCCTATTTACAAACTTACTTAAAAATTACGTAAAACCTATACTGGATGAGTTGTCCGGCACGTGAGCGCCTTGACAACCCATAGTCCTATAATTATACAAACTAACCGTAACAGTAAAAGGAAGCAATATAAAACTAAAATTAATGTAATACACTAACGAGCGTACGTAATTAAGTAGCCGGCACGTGAGCGCCTCGCTACCTATCTGCACGCGTTTATCAGTCGTACCATGGGAGAGAGAGAGAGAGAGAGAGAGAGAGAGAGAGAGAGAGAGAGAGATTCAAGACAAAGGAAACTCGACCTTTCTGGGCGCTGGGCTGCCAACCAAGTGAAGGAGAGTTGTCGCTGGCAAAGCTGGCGTCCTGGGCCTCTAGTGAAGGGTCACCGTAATCGACGCAGAAAAGCCGTTGCTGCAGGCGACGATAACTCTTTGTCTGGCTAAGGACTGCGACCTTGGGCTCCTTTTACTCTCTATCCTACTAACTATCCAAAACTGCACTGACTCGCGCACGTATTTTTTCTCGCGTTGACCGTCTCGCGGTCGCTCAGCGGTGCTCGCTCCCATCCCTTCTTGACCTATTAGTTAGTTGGCAGGCGACGCGCCGCTTATCGGTCGCGTGTCGCGCGCCTGCCTAACCCTGCATAGGTCTAATGCTCTCTCTCTCTCTCTCCTTCTCTCTCTCTCTCTCTCTCTCTCTCTCTCTCTCTCTCTCTCTCTCTGCGCTCCTCAACTTCTCGGCCCGTTCTTGGCGCTAAAACAAAAGGCCGAATGTTAGGCGCATATTTTAATGCGCCCAACGTTGGCCACCACGCCTTGTCGAGCGGAGAAGGATGGAGAAACGCAGACGAGAAGCTAGCACACGGCCTGCTCTCGTCACAGTCAGATAAGTTCAATATTTTTTAAGTTATTTAATGAATGACTGACCTGAATGAATGTCTAGAATACTTTGTGTGCCTTATACTTTTTTTCATGATCAAGTTGCTATAGCTGTTTAAGGAGAAGAAGTAATTTAAGTGAAAATTGTTGAAATAAGGGCGTTCATGCCCACTTCTGCTTGACTCCCCCCTCTACCTTCGCCGTCGTGGCGGCGCGCAGCTCGGCGCAGCTCGCCTGACATTGCACTGTCCGTGCCGCACTTTTTGAATGAAGTGTCTCCTATTAAGACGCCTTCCTTTTGTACTCAATAAATATCTTTTCTACAGATTTAAAGCTGGACTGATTTATTTTTGAATCGCTCTGCGTTGTGTTACTGACAGGTTATGGCCTAGCACGCTTCCACTGCGTGAGTACAATGAATAGTGAAAAACGTTCGCGAGTGTTTTCTTATACCAAGCAGGGAGAATAAAATGCCAAACGGTGAGAAAGAAAAGCCACAATTAAGTGGCAGTGGCGAGACTTCAAATGGTGGGACAAAAGAGGTGAACAGCAAAGAATCACGTAAGTATTTACAAAGAATAGAGAATGTTGTAATATGGCGTATCAGAAGTAATGACTTAAAGAACAGAAAAGGTGCGCGATTTGTCTATGTAAAAGTTTGATTCATAAAAAGGTTAAAAATGAAAAAGAAAACTTGTAAAATTCGATTAAAAGTAAAAGAAAGAATCCAAAGAGACAAAGTGGTGCGAGAACATTAGTACGTCATATGTTTGACTTTTGGAAAAACAAAAGCGCGCGAGCTGTGACAAGTGCCGGCCGGCGAGCACAAGCGCGTGGCGCAGCAGTAAAAGAGAAAAGATAGATAGAGACAAAACTGCAGCAACTATGGTCACGTGACACTTGAGTGCAAGGAGTGTGCTATATGAGCAAGAGAGAGAAAGAATATACACGATGGTGAGTCAAGTATGTTTTTACCTAACCGCGGACGTTCTTGTGCTTTCCGATAAAAGTCCAACAAATAAAGGAATTCGGGAGAAACAAAAATATTACTGAAAAGATAAAAATACAACAAATGCAAAATACAAAACTAATCAGCGAAATAAAATTTCATAGCAGTCCTAATTCAATCTAAACGAAACTCACGGAGACGAGTTTTATCCTGCCTGCTGATACTGAATTGGGCACTCTCAGACTTACAAGCGAAACGTGACAAAACTACTGTACTGGTGAGTTATTTATAAGGTGTGAAACATCAATCGCCATATGGCATATATGTGTATATGTGATACATTAAAACACACCTGTGAAGGATCTATGAAATTCTAATAAAATATTCGAAAATGGTTCGTGATTGATTAAGTACACACATCTGACATTTAGATTATGTATTTGATTAAATCGTGACGGAAGCAGAAAGTTTCGATGTTCGAAATTTAATGCTCATCCATCTCATTCTCTTAACCAGTCATGCGTGTCTGTGACTGCCAACTGATCTTGAGATGCACGTCCTTGGCAATACACAAATATTAAAGTCTATATGTTTACAGTAAAATAGAAGTTTCCCGAGCTCATCGAAGAGAACTGAAAGCTGCTGAAAAAATGGCACGAAGCATACATAATCGAGGGTACCGAAGCTACACTGTCAAGGACTACTGAAAATGAATCACCTGTGTGCACCGAGCATGCAATGGAGATTGAGAACACAAACAATGAAGGAGAGCAAAAAGATACGGATGGTGAGGTTACCGGTAACAAATAAGATGAAGATGGTGAGGATGGTGCGAAAGAAAGAAAAATTGCAGACAAGCTCGGTGCACTAAAAATTGATCTTGAAAAAGGTAAAGGAAACCCACGTCGTCCTCTTATATCTAAAACGAAGGTAGTTAAATACGGGGATAGATATCATTGGACAAATTTAAAAAGATATAATAAAAGTGAAATTAATTTATCAAACATTAATGATGGGAAATCTGTAATTAAAATTAAAATCAACGATCCAAGCGCTCAGTTGGCCGAATGGAAGACCTTGGTGTCAAAGTCAAAGTCATTAAGTGGACGACAGAGAGAGGTGTTAGAAAAAGAGAAAGAGAGAGAGGCGTGCGTGCCCCACGCAGGTTTAGGCAGGCACGTGACGCGTAACCAATTAGCGTATTGGTCGTGCGCCGCCTAATAAGTAGGTCAAGTGGGGAGAAAAAAAGTGAGCGAGGAAGCTGTCGATTACGGAAGCGAGCGAGCAGTCAGACGGTTCTAAGTCGGTCAGCGGTGCAGTCAGTGCAGAGTACAGAGGTAGAAGTCAGCCAAACACGCACACGCCAAGGAGCTGAGACGGAGAAGGCAAAGGACAAGTGCCTTTCACCAACATTTTTTTTATGCGTAGTATGTGTTAGTGACACCGTTGTGTTCAATAGAATTTAAGGCGTGTTAATCTTCGTTGTTCGATAGTTTAAGGTTTTGTAAGTTGCGGTAATAATAATAAGGTAAAAATTATTTAATGATATTTGAAACGTGATTTTAATTGTATTTCTTGACCTTTCCCTTCCTCTCCTTGATTGCGAGTGCGCCTCACTTATCCACCTTTGAAAATTGATAACGATGCGAATTTCGTTACAGACGTAATGGGTCCAATTACACCTGCGAGTTTTCCCAAAGGTCATCAGTACATTTCTGTGTTCATGGACCACTTTTCAAGGTTAGTTATGGCTTATTCCATGAAAGCAAAAAGCGACACGAGTCATTGCCTAGAGGTAAAAACAGGAGCAGTAGAAATTTGCTGGGCTATGATGCGATGGTGTGTTATCTCAGGACCGATCAAGGAACCGAATATACGGGTGGATACGCGGTAGAGGTGCTTCAGAAATTAGGTGCGGAACTGCAGCTAATTTCTGAAGTCCTGGCCCCACAGGATACGCCAGAACATAACGGTGTGAGTGAGCGCGTTCATCTTCAAAATTTATAACACCATTGTTTCTGCCTTTTTGGACTTTTTTGATATTGTTGCTTGATTTTTTGCTTAGCTGTACAATTAATGCCATTTTGTAGAGATCATGTTTTATTTCTTTTGCTTATAGCGTTTAAGTTTTTTTTCTTTTTTGTATATTTTCTTGGCTGATAGAGCTATCAGACGAGTAGGATAATTGTAATTTATATGTTCTGTTTTTAGGAATATTCAGCTCACTTTTGCTGTCAAGTGAATGCAATTCCTTATTGACTTCTTGTTCATTAAGTTTTTCAAGACAAGATTCTGTATAAGAGTCACTCAAACTTTTATGGTCTGACGTCTTATTTGGTACATATTTTGATCCAGATGTTCCTGATTCTGATTCAAATTCTTCAAAGTCGTTGTCAGATATCGTTTCCTAAATTGTAGAAATTGAAAAATAGAACAATGTTGGAACAATACATTTTATCTACTTCATACTTATGAAATTTTTTATTAAAACTTTTAAACTTAAATGAATATCAGGTATTTAAGCCAATAAAACAATTATTGCAATATTAAAACTTTTTAAAACTAAATTTTTAATCTATAAAAAACAATCTTAAAGTAAAATTGTTAATCTGTAAAATCTCAGGATCGTATATATTCAATTCAAAGCTCAAATAATAAGTTACGTATTCTCAGTTATGAAGTGCGATCATGACCATGGCAAATCCAGACAAAAGAATTTCACTAGAATAACGAGCATAGATTTTAGATTGTCATTTAAATTGCATGAACAATTACAGATTTGGTTTTGCATATGACGTTAGTCCATGGCTGAGTTATTGCACGAAGAAATCATTGGACCTGTTAGACATTCTAACACGGTGTGAGCAGCTTTATATTTTATTACATTATTAATAGGTTAACTATTTTAATACCATGTAAGCAGCGTTATATTTTATTTATTACGTTATTTCACTATTTCACGTCTGAAAATGCAGTTGATTATAATTGAACTTTAAAGAAAACAATGAATGCAAGAATTCTATGTAACTTGGATGATTTAACGAAATTGTTGAATGTTGATTGTTAATTTCTGGGGTATGGATCAATTAATAAATTAATTGATAGCCATGTTTCATAGTAATAATAATATAAGAACGATTATTTATTGAAAATTTGTAAAGATTACTATGATACAAAATGATTACATATTTCACTTATACACTCACGGAAATGCTCTCGCTTGTTAGCTATATGGCTTAGTATATTCCTACAGATTATATCATACGTACACTCTATACAGGGTGATTCAAAAATATATGTAAGTATGGATACCGTTGGATTCGTCTTGAAAAGTTATTCAAGACGCCATTATTAGTTTTTTTCCGATAATTAGGTAATTAGATAATTAACTTGAAAGATCGATCAATCAGCGCGCGGCTAGGTGGGCTAGCCAGCGCGCGTCGCGGCTATATGGAAGCGGTGCTCAACCTTGATGCGCGACATGAGTTCCCCAAGCCGACAGACTCATATTCATTTTATAGATCGAGTCCTATCGATTGATCGACAATAATATAAAATTATGAGGACGCACGATTAAGTGACAAAATAAATAATCCAATTATAATTATTTCATAGACCATGTAAATATTGTAGCATCACATACGCTTTAATTCATGCGAAAAGCAGCGCCCAAAAGCCAGATTAAAATGATAAATTTGTCAATGTGATTATTCGCACCAAGATTATGGTAATTACAAGACTGCAATCATGTAATTACGTCACTTGTAGAGTAATGTTCTTGGGGTTGGATTCTGAGTGTCAGGTTAATTTTTCGACTAGCCTGGAGAAAAATTTCAGTTCCTGAGAAAATTTCTCCCCGAAATACTGGAAAATTTCTATTTTCGTTTTACGGCCGTTAAGATGAGTCTAGTAAAATAATGTTAATTGAATAAAATATGTTACGTGACAGTTTTGATGTCTTTTCAAAACGGCCACGTGTTAGACCGTTTTTAGCTCCGAGTGGTCCTGAATCGGGCGAATTGAACCTTCAGTACGGTACCCCGACCGTGTCAGCGAATGGATCGCGTTTTTGCCGATAATATCCGAAATTCGTCCACACGAGCGGTAAGCGAGAGTAATGGGAAAAAAGGGGGGGGGGGCTCGCTGGTTTATTAAAATGAACTTACACGGGTACGTAGGATAGATTTATATATATTTTGATACATAAGATAACACGTCTAGTAATGATATCGCGCTACTATCTAGTTCACGATTTATTAAAGAAATGTTCTAAAATGCGCGGTCGGTCGTCCTTACACACCTGGTCCCGGTACGCAAACAAATGGATTCACCGAAAGGGGAACCTTGAATATGATAAGTAGTAGTGATAAGTAGTAGAGAGAGAAAAAAAAATACAAGGAAGAGATTTCGGTTTATCGAGAATAGAGGCCGGAAGTACTCACTCTGTTGTTTTGGTCCGAAATATTGTTTGGTTCGTTATGTGGGTAATCACTCCTTTTGAATTCGGTTAGATTAACTGGTCCAATATATATTTCTTTTATCCAATAATATTCCAATACGAAATAAAGTGAATATTGCTATGATTTTCGTTTACACAAAATTGTTAGAAATAATGGTACTCGGTATTTCGAATATTTAATTATAACTCTTATATTCTCAAACTCTTAAATTATAGATTTAACTTTAGTAGGAAAATTGCAGGCTTCTTAGTCGAGCGCTCACTCCTGACTGATTAATTCGCTGGCTCTGCTTTCGCTGGTTTATTATATAGCCTTTGTCCCTAGCATACCGTCTCTCTCTCGCGCATATGCTTTAGACGTTTACGCTTCTCGTAGTGGCTCGTCTTACCTAGCTAAGCACGCCGACTGCAGTATGCTGTCACAGCATGCTGACGCAGCGTGAATCAGCCTCTGCCGCTCATTCCCACCGAGTCGTGCCTACGAATACTGCTAGCTATACTGTGTCCGAACGGAAATCCCGAAAGGAAAATATTATTCGATAGTATATAATTGTAATATAATAGGCCGTCACGTAACAAAATAATATTCATTTTAAGCTCCGAATTAAATCATAGTATTTAAAACTAAACAAATGTTGTAATTAATATTATAAAAAAAAACTAAATAGTGTTTTAGCAGCCATAGTAGTTTCATAATAAATCAGACGAGTTCACAAATAATTAATCATAAGATTTCTGTATTTTTGCGTGATATAAATTTATTATTGATTTCCTAGTCTTAAGTAACAATGTTGAATTGCAATTAAGTACTGCGACAAACACCTATTTGCTGAAATTAATTAATAATTATTGATAATAAGAGGACTTTTTCCAGGACTTTTTCGAGGACTTGTTTGAGGACTTTTTCGAGGACTTTTTTGAGGACTATTTTGAGGACTTTTTTGAGGACTTTTTCGAGGACTTTTTTGAGGACTTTTTTGAGAACTTTTTCATTTTGAAATATGATATTTATTTTCAAAATTATTTTCGAACATCATTTTGACATTTTTTAATAACTATACTTTTATTATTTTATTGACAAAATTAAATACTTATTATATTGCTATACTTTTTATAGCTAGTTATTTTTATTTCGGTTACGTAAATTATTACACATTTTGGTGAGTAATTTTCTGTAATCTTCACTCACGAGCCTTCGATCTGCTGCCAATTGATTACACAGGTTTACAAAATAAAAAAAGTTGATGCCTATTTGACCAGACCATATAACTTTTATGTATTTTGATGCGCTGAACACGAATCCGAGGTCCGTTGATCTCCATCACGTCAGGTTCAAGGTTTTTCGAAGGTCAAATGTATTTAATACAACGGAATTTAAAATTTGACTACGGATTCGGAAAGAGCGGGAAATTTTACGTTCAAATACATATTGTTGGTTTTTTCCAACATGACCTTTGAAGGACATCTAGAGCTCAAACAAATAATAAATAGACCTTATTTGCTTTTTATCCATATGAACTTGTTTTTGAGACCTCCGATGGGCTTCTATTGTATACTGTCATGTATCTTTGTATTCTGAATACAAACCTGGAATCCATTTGACCTCATCCAGTTAAGATCAAGGTCACTTCAAGGTTAATTCGTTAATTTTGCACAAAAAAAACAAATATAACCCTAGTCTTTGAACCCTGGTTGCTTTAACCCTCGAGTCCTGCATCTCTGCGTGACTATAACCCTTTACTCTCAACCTCCGATCTCCATATCTTAATTTTTTCAGCCCCGAGCCCGGTAACCTGCAACTCTACAACCCCGACCTTCACATCCTAATTTCATGAACCCCTGATGCGATGAACTTCGATCTATATCGCGAAAGGCTTTTGAGCGTACAGAGGCGAGGGGCCTTGAGGACATCTAGCGCATACTGGACGGTCTCGAGGGAAGCTATTCTGGTTGTCGATAGTGTAATCCCCGTAGATCTTCTTACTAGGGAGCGCAAGAGGATCTATGACAGAAGATTAAACGAAAATAAAGTAGAAGTAGCCAAGGAGGAGAGTAATAGAATAATAGAAGTATGGCGAGAACGGTGGTCGAGAGATGGTAAAGGCGTATGGACGAGAAGCTCAATTCCCGACATTAGGGCGTGGATGGAGAGGAGCTTCGGAGAAGTGAACTTCTACCTTACGCAGATGCTTACGTGCTATGGGTACTTCAAATGCTACCGGGATTCTTCGAATAGTAAAGTAGAGAACAGGGTTGTAGATAGGAGGATTCGCTTGCTTTTTACCACTGCATAAAAAATCTCGAACACGGCATAGCAAATTCTACACGCCCCGACCTTGATATTCTCGAAATCGAATTGAAATCCAATCGAAATTTAAGATCTTCTAACTTTCTAAAGTCAGTTAAAGGTATGAAAATCAGGAAATCTCTGAAATTTATATTAAGTATTTCAATGTCATGGTGAAACAATCATTTTTTATTATAATCTCATGGAGGGTACTTCTTAACATAGAGGTTTATGTCTCTTACTCTGTTAAGCCACCACTCTTCAATGTAAACGTGCTTTCTTGCTAGGTCTACATCTTTCATCGAATGTTCTTTTCAGCGCTTTTCTCTTGTGCTTAACTGAAGTATCCCTCTTATGGTTCCAGCAGTAATCTGACATCATATTGACATCCCAAAATCCTTGATAGTGCCTTTCCATCTCTTTAATGTCTTGATGAAATCTTTCACCTTGCTCTTCACTATAATCTCCTAGATTTTCTGGAAATTTGTCCAAATGAGAATCTAAAAAGTGGAGCTTCAGACTCATGAGACATTGAACAGCTTTGTGGTTTACGACCAAGTCGTTGACTATTTCTTTATAATTTTGATCTCTGTTGTTACCTA